AGACGTATTACAAGCCACAATCTCAGCACATCCAGAGGTTTGTGTGTGTGTATCAAATGCCAAAATGTCAGTCATAAATATTAATAACACGAGCCTCTGATGCCATGAAAATGTTAAGGATTACAACTTGTTGGTTGTTCATTGATTTTCTGTCATGTAGTTCTTTCCAAGTCTGCAAAGTGCAAACAAATCTAAAATCGTTCAAGGTTAAACTGGACTTTTAGACTGTTCGAATTTATTAAGTGAGTGAGTAATGCACATTAATGCACACAAAACAGGAAAACCTGAACAGGCCAGACTGCCAATGAATAGACTAAACTATATTCAGCCTGAGTAAAACTAGAAATACCACAAATATAAGGTTAAAACTTCATGAATGTACATTAGATTAATTACTTGATCCTATGCTGGTGGGAGAACCTCATTAATGAGCAAAAGTAGGTGGATATAGAAAAATTAGTAAGCAAGGCATTCTTTATTATCTCTATTTGACTCATAGTTTCAGGCAGTATCCTCTTTTTTCCACAAATGCAAAAGAGAGAGAAACCAGGAACATTACAAATATGTGCCAACCATAACTGTGTGTCACACATGACAGTAAAATGAACATATTTAACGATCAGTTCATGAGTTTTGTTGTAAAGTTTTGCATGCACAGTTTGTATCATCACCAACCAGTGAGGGTGTGTCCCCTGGCGAGGATTCCTGCTGGGAATACGGAGGGGGTCACTGTCCTCTCCTCTTCTTCTCTGCTCCTCCTCTTCCTCATCCCGCTGACTCTTCCTCTCTGCTCTCTGTCCGGTCGGTCTGTCCAGGGGGGGCAGCAGCTGAGTCTTCACCTTCTCTGACAAACTGTCTGCATCTTTGAACACACTGCAGAGAAGAGAGATGACTTCATTTATTTTTCAGCTCTATACGTTTATTTTCTGACTATACCAGAGTTGCTAAGCATGACTCACAATTCAAAATAATCTTTAGTTATCAAACAAACTGCCCTTCAAGGCCACCCTCCCTATCAGACAACCTTTTTATAATACCGTAGGCTTTTTCCAACAAATAAAAGATTTCAACAACAAGTGGGTGTCAATCTGAGATGACCTTAAAAGGCAGGCTGAGTACGAGGCATACTTTATTACTATTTATACATTTCTTCCTAAAGTTGGAAAGTTTGTCCCTTACAGGATCCAAAAGTCTAACACAACAATTAAAA